TCTCGACCACTCTTTCTTCCTGTCAAGTCAAACCGAGTATCTTTACCAGCGTATTGATTATCATGTCACCGGTGATCAGATGACGCGATAGTCAACGCACCGAATAAAACTGCAAGCACATCGTTGGTTAAATAAGAAGAAAGTATAACGAATCTCTATATCTATATCCATGTCTATATACATGTACGTACATCTCAGATCAAAAAAAAAAAAGAGTCATGAAAATGCTAAAGAACAAAGATGTTACTAGAATATAAATGATAATAGATGATAATGATCAATAATAATAATAATAAGGGTATCGCCGACAAAGAGAGAGAGAGCAGGAGAATCCTGATGGAGGTTCTCAGCCGAGAGAGATCTAGGTAACCGAAACCGACGTACGGCCAGAGGATGGTCGATGGCCGTTTTCCTGGGGAATTGGTCCGGGTCCAATCATCCTGATGGAAAGGACCCTATAAGAACCGTCGATATTTCGCTCGATCGACGAGGTTGCCGGACAGAAGCGAAGACTGTAGCGACTTGGATCACGTCGAGGAGACGATAGAAGGGAAGAGAAAGAAAAAGAACGAGTGTCGCGCGCGGAAGAACGAACCGATCGCCATCGATCGTGGGACAATCGATGGGGTCGCAAGACGCATCAAGAAATCTAACGCTAACCAAAAGAGAAAAGAGAGAGAGAGAGAGAGAGAGAGAAAGCGAGAGAGAGAGAGAGATAGCGCGCGCGCGAAAGAGATGATGAGAAAAGGCGAAAACAAGCGATGAGAGCGAAACGAAAGAGAGAGAAAGCGAGAGAGAGAGAGCGAGAGAGAGAGAGCTAGGGCTCGCTAGACAAAATAGCGTGTCTTGAAGCGTGTGTTCCTCTTGTGTGCGTTCCAGGTGTGGTGCTGTTCTCGTCGGCGGTATACTTCGCGGAGGCGGGCACGCAGGACAGCTTCTTCAAATCGATACCGGACGCGTTCTGGTGGGCGGTGGTCACGATGACGACCGTGGGCTACGGGGACATGAGGTACAGAGCCACCGGGGGCGTTAAACCCACTGAACCGGTGTTTTCTTCCTTGCATTGCAGGTGTGGTGCTATTCTCATCGGCGGTATACTTCGCGGAGGCCGGCTCCGAGAATTCGTTCTTCAAGTCCATTCCGGACGCGTTCTGGTGGGCCGTTGTCACGATGACGACCGTGGGCTATGGTGACATGACGTATGATGTACTCACTTTCACTTAAGACTCTAGTTAATGCCCGCCAAACAAACGAACACACACTTAACTTAACTTAACTTAACTTATCTTATCTTACTTAACGTAACTTAACCTTAACTTAACTTAAATTAACTTAACTTAACTTAAATTAACTTAAATTAACTTAAATTAACTTAACTTAACTCAACTAACTTACTTAGAAACTTCAGTCTCTTACATTTTTCTACTATGTCTCTCTGCTCCCGATATCTACTCTCTCTTATATGCCAACCATAACCGGATCTACTACTGTCACTCGATCTACCAATCCCCCTTAACCACCCCCTTTTTTATTCTTCTATCTCTCTATTGTTCCACCGGAAGCACGATGTTATCCACACCTGAGCCCATATCCAGTGTCCTTGGATCTATCACGGATTCTCGATCACTCGTTCGATCTCAGCTTTTTAGTTTCGTTTCTTTGGTGACTTGGTGATATTTACGATTATTATAGTGCTTGATAGAGTTGAGCACGCTAACTTTTTCGATCTTCCCATATATACGATATTATATTACATTATATATTATATTAAATTACATTATATTACATTATGCGAGTATTACATTATATTACATTATATATTATATTATATTATTATATACTATTCGCAGTCTCTTGGAATGTTTCGTTTTCATTTCTTTTTTTCTCTCTTTCTCCACCCTCACTGTTCTGTCACCCCTCGGTGAGACTCGCACACATACACACAGACACACCGACCCCGACCCTTCTGTTCTTCGCACACGTTTTTCTGTATTGCATCTTTAGAGAGCTGCTCGCAATCCTCCTTCTCCCGACACGCTTCGACTCATCGATCGGAACATCGGACGCCTCGTTACTTCATTTCTGTGTAATCGTCCGGGAACATGTCCTATCCTCGTATCCGGCACTGATTGGCGCGGTTTGGAGAAAGAATCTTCCGATGCACAGTTCGATTAAAGTAATGTTTTCCACCAAGTTTCATGTCACTGTCATGTTCAGAAATAGGTTTATCTTGGTAATCTGATGAACAAATTAAAGTATTCCGGTTCTGCACGTACAGTAAATTCTCCCCGATATTCCTTCGGTTTGTAAACAAAAGTGGACAATTTGGGAGGAGGAGATACGATGTGACTTGAATTTTTTTGAAATATTACAGAGTCTAGTTTACTGGACAATCGTCGAAAGAAATTTCACAAAAATTAAAACCGGTCGAAATGGCAAACAAATTTTTTTAATCCATATTTTTTAACATTTTTTATTTGTGCGAATAATTAAACTTTGAACATTGCATTTTGTATGTCTCGATAACTTGTATACGTGCCCGAACATTTCATCGAAATCGATTGACGTTGTTACGAACGACAAACAATTAAAAATTGTAAAAATAGCCGGTTTTCATTGCTTTGTATCAAAAATTGTTTACATCTTTCAATGCCTCGAGCTCGTAACAACGTTAAACGATTTCGATGGAATTTTCATCATGGATATAAGTTACCGAGGTTACAAAATGTAATGTTTAAAGTTTAATAATTCAGTCGAATAAAAAAATTTAAATAACATGGATTTAAAAAATATGTTCGCCGTTTCGACCGGTTTTAATTTTCGCAAAAATTTCTTTCGGTGATCATTTAGTAAACTAGCCCCTACATTCCGTGTTAAAAAAGTGTCCGAATATTTTCATTGCCGACTGCAGTTGTTAACCCTTTTAGTGTCGGAGGCCGATATATCAGCCCTCGCTGCACTGGCGAAAAGTGCCAGAGCCGATATATCGGCCCGCACCTTGTAGCGTTATAAATAAATACGTTACAAATAGTCTAATTTCATTGCGAGAGAAAAAATTAGCGTCACCGTTTTATTCTCTATTTTGTCCTTGATACAATTATGTAAATATTGCTTTTCGTTTGGTTTATATGAGCCTTTTTCGAAATTCTAGTAAAATCGTAAAATTCGGCCGGTTATATTCGCATAAGCGCCTCTTTTTCGCCCGGCACTAAAAGGGTTAAATTCTTGAGTGCTATACGTACCTACAGATCCGTATCTAGATACGCAAATTATCTATAATATAACATTCGTAAGTATGTTAATACAGTAATGTCTCTCTAATTGACGCCCAGATTGTCCACAAAAATGGACAATTTGGGAAAAAGAGATGCGATCATTCGAGCCTTGCGGTTCGTTTTCATAGCTACAAATTTTCAAGAAATATAAAAACGAATTGCAAGGCTCGAATAATCGTATCTCCTCTTCCAAAACTGTCCATTTTTATACACAATCTGAGCGTCAGTTAGGGAGACATTACTGTACAAGTATGACTCCAAAGCAGGTTTCTATAATTTTACAAGAACACACGAAAAACTTCCAAAACTTCACGCGAAACGCAAACATTTTGCCGATATCTTCGAACTGTGCCGAGCAGGAACACTTTATTTTCAAGTTAAACCGTCTGAAAATAAAATAGCAAAATGTTCGAAATAGTGTTTCGCCCATTCCCGACTCCCATCCTGGCCGTCTCTAAGCGGCCTGATCGTTTTCTTCTTCTTCGTTTCCTCGCTGAATCAGCCCCGTCTCCTCGTTCTATCCGCGCCCGTTCCTCCAAGCTTCCGTTCAGACGTTCCTCCGTCGATTTCCCGATTTTCCTGTTCGAAGGACGATCGACGCTGCGGCGTTCGTCCAACGAATCACGTTTCTCGCGAGAATCTGAGTCCCGAAGCGAGAGAACGACCCATGATTCTCATTCTTGCACACGTCCCCCATTCATCTTTCCAATCGTCATTGTTCATTGATTTCGTTGAACATTATCAAACTTCTTTATCATGTCATTTCACCTCGTGGCACACTTTCGATTCGTTCTAAAGTTTTCGACGCCGTGATCATGCTTTCGGTGACAGCGAAAACGACTGGGATAGTTTCTGAAAGTGAGATCTTCTTCGTTAACTCTTGTTGCGATCGTCACGCCCAGGAATCGTTGAAAAATTCAGTGTCAAGGGGTACGATTCACTGTTCGAATAGTAAAATCAGATTATATTCCAATAATCGAATTTCTGTTACCACGGGTCCGAAGTAGTGGCAAGAAAAGTCGTTCGTAGTCGGGCCTGCAACGATGTTACAAGAGTGCGTCACAGCAGTCGCAGACCTCGACATTTCGATTTCCAATTTCGTTAAATAAATTGCTTTAGTTTCGTGGAATTTTCGAGGCTGCTAGGTCGACAGTCGCAGTCGTCGAGGGTCGAACGACATTCGAAGGTGGTCGATCGCGGGAACGGGGATGTGTGGCAGCAAATAAGGTCGCGAATTAACCTCTCCTCGGCCCGTTCCCGCCGGGGTGCTAAGAAAAATAATAATTACGAGTCGGGTCACGGCGCGGAGGGATGGACGGCTCGGATTAAGTCCGATTTGAGGCAACGTTTGCTTCGGGTCGCAGAGTCACGTGAGTGAGAGAGAGAGAAAGAGAGAGAGAGAGAGATCCCTCTCTCACTCTCATTCTCTCCGGCAAACCGTCCACGTTTCTAGGCGCGAGGCGACACGGGAGAACATTGTAATATCGACGAGGGTAGTTTCGTGGTCCGCGGTAAGCCCTCGAGATCCGAGAGCGTCCGTGGAGAGAGGCTCGAGATCTCGCTGTTACGGCCGAGGGGGCTTCTTGAGCAATTGCCTCCCGTAAATCAATAAGTGTCCTCGGGCACTCGGGTTCGTTTCTTGGAAACGCCCCGCATCGAAACGGCCACGGGATCGCGAGCGGCCGCCGATCGCGGATGGACCAAATCCGCGCGGTTTCGCTCGATCCTCTCCTCTGGGACTCGCTATCGTCCCCCTCGAAAAATCCATCGATTTTTCCTCGGACGCAGCGGTGCATCCGACACAGCCTTTTTCTACTCCCACGCGACCAAAATTCTTCGTCGCTCTCGGTCGTTCTGCCTGATCCCGCAGAGCTGAAACCCGCTTCCACAAATGCCGGGCAATCGAAACGTTCTCTCGGTGTCTCTCCTCTGTGCAGTGACGTCAATTTAGTTCCAATTCACCTTCGGATTTAGGGACCGATTCTTTATGAACTGCTACGAGAGCGGTCTTCAATCGTTTCGATAAAACCTAAAACGCGCGACATTCGCTCGATGAAATTATACCAGAGCTTCGTATTGTATTTTCGTCTCGAAAGAAAGGCAATCGACCTTCCGGTGCAACGAGGCACCGGTACGATGATTTACATATTATTCAATGTAAAAATTATCGTACCCATCCAAACTGTGTATTCCTGTTCCCAGTTCTTCTACTACCCTTGGCAAGAAGTATACGAACTCCTTTTATAACGCAATAACCTTTTTAAAACTGGACTAAGCGGCTTCAATTCTTTTTTTACATGCCGAAAGTACTGGTATATATTTTGTTTTAATTTTGTTATTACTTAGAATGACCCAAAAAATCTCTGGTTTGTCAATTTTTTCTATCTGCACCGGGAACGAAAATTTGAAAAATGCGTTCGGCAGGTTATATACGTACTGAAAATATTATTGCAATCGTTTGGCATTATTATGGATTAGACAATAATTAAAGATTGCGAAAATCGCAGTTTTTTACGGATTTGAACCAAGGACAGATCATTTTTACATATTCCAATGGCTGTAGCTTGACTACGCGTCGATCAATTTCAATGAAATTTTCAGTGTGCACATAGAGTCTGAATAAAAAGGTTGATAAACCACAATCTCTTTTTTTTATCATTCCAAGTAACAGCAAAATAAAATAAAAGTATTTTAGTCATTGTACAGTAAACTACTTCTCTTCTAACGTTTAAAAGAAATTCAAACCATTCAGTCCAGTTCTTAAAAACTTATCGCGTTTTAAATGATGTTCGAATACTTTCTGCCAGGGATTGTACATGCAAAGTGTTAGTAACGGTTGTAATACAGTTACAGCCACGACATTTTTCGGTTGTAAAATCGTCCAGGCCCTACGGTCACCCTAGCGCGAGCATATCTCCTCTCTG